TTCCTTATGCTATTCAGTGTCGACATGAAACTACTGGAGACTATCCAAATTTGTAGGATGGTGTCAACAATATACTTTCTTCTCACTATATTCCAGAGAGGTTACTGAGATCTTGAACACTGTCTGAAAATAGTAATGAATTGGATATAGGCTAAGGAACAGGGACTGAATTCACACAAACAGATGCTCCACTGTTCATACAACAATCTATCCCAGGGTAGGGATACAGTCTGTTCTAGATGCACTCTCTTCTGGGAGGCCTCATGAATTCAGCTTTAATTATGGCTACAGTCATGGTTTTGAACAGTTTAGACATGCATCACGTATACTACACTCCATGCAAAATTTAAGATGCTAATAATTTAAAATGCTTGTAAAATGGGAACTGATTACAATCAAGAGTACTAATACTTGTTCACAGCAATGCACTATAGGAGAGGACAACTTGGAAGAGCATTTGGAATTTCCAGTTGACTGGGAATGTAATAACTCAAGTTTTAAAAACAGCAAGGTTTTTGGTGCAAAGGATTTTAATAAATACTACATACTGGCTCCTGGTTTGGTTTGGTTCCAAGCAAAATTTAAGATGCTAATAATTTAAAACCACCTTATTTGAAGGACCATCTCCTACTGTGTGATTCTGTGGATCATGAGATCCAGAACTGATATCAACACGTCCTATTATTACTGGAGGTTTGTTTGAATGGAACTTGGAAGAAATCCTTCTCTGCCAAGGAAGTCTACTCAGAAGACTCACAGTGGCTATCTCCTTTATGTGTTTCAAATGATAGACAAGGCATTTTGGGTTAAGTTTACCTGTACTTTGCTAGGTCTTGAACAGACTTATATTTGTTTGAAAGACAGTCACCAGTTTTTTCAGCTTTAAGCACACCACATGGTTCTTTAGAATAGTTGTTTCAAATGCTTACTATCTGATGGAAAATATAAATTAGCCTTCCTTGTGTGGACACTTTCCAGATATGTGAGCTTCATGATACACCTTCTTCCTGCAAGCTGTGATCTCCTCTAGCAAGGGAATACTGCGATTGGGTTTGCTCATCTTAAGCCCCAGTTTGCTTACTAATTTTACTGACTAAATCATTTCTTAATATACCCTAAGTCATAAACTACAAATCACAATGTCTGGGTTCACATATATTCTAAGCCCAAACCAAACAAGCCATATTACTGATTAGCAGGATATGTAAAACATTTTTTTTTTTTTTTTACATTTTACATTTGCTCTTCCTTGACAAGACTGAGGACATCTTCTTGGTCTCAGCTGTTCCTGATAGCAGATAAGTGATGTCCTAGCACCTGACACTATAATTTCAGTTCATGCTTCAGTTCAATGAAAGGGCTAGGAATCTTCTGACACAACTGTGTAGAATCTCAAGAATCTTGCTGTTGTCTATTTCTCAAAACTCTAACCCATACAATATTTGGGTTACAGCTCTCCTTATATAGATTTTTAGTACAAGTTCTATCAACTGTCCTTACCTGGAAGGAAAACCCCCCCCACAGTTGTTTATACTGCATTACAGAATAAAATTTTAACTGGCTACTTGTGAGAACTCCACATAAACTGTATACTGAAATACATAACCAGGTATAAGAAAAGATATAAAAAAAGAGCATATTCACTTTATTTCCTGGCCACTGAAGCGCCATTTAAGTTCTTTGGCTCTTTTGTCAAAATGATCAGTTACAAATGTACTGCTTCCTTCTACAGTATTCTATTTTCCTCATCCCTCTGTATGATTTTCTACTACTGTATAGTAAGTACTTTCATGTCTTTTGTTAAAAGATTGTTGCAACTTTTCTGTACAAACAGAAAAGCCTTCAGCAACATATAATATAGTGTGTTGCATAAGCATTTGTCTAAGTAAATTCTTTTCTTCCTTTTGTTCCCAACTTAACTTCACTGTGTGATCTCAGCTCATTCAAGTATCTATGAAAAGCAATACAGTACATTTCTCTACCACTCTCTGGATTGCAGCAGTAAAACAGATATGTATCAGTTTGTCTCCTGCCAAAAAGTAAAAAAAAAGTCTATTGTTAGCTTAAAAGCCAGCAGATTTATTATTATACAAGGTTTCATGGACAAAAGGTCACACAGAAGATACATCACATGGTATTTAATTAGAGGACGGAGAGCTATAGAAAAGAAACGTGAACTGGAAAAAAATAAATACTACCAAGTACAATGAAGCAGCAGCGGGTGTCAGTGGGTGTGTCATGGTTCAATACAAAGTCCAACTAGATATAAAAGTGAACCATTCGTAGCTGCAACCACTGATCATAGTGATTATTATTAGTAACTATAACTGTAATCAAGTTTCTATAAATTCATATATCTTTGGACTCTAAAATGTCATATGCAACAAATCACAAATACATTTTGCATTGCATTGTTTACAACTCTTTGTAGATATGTTTACATGTGTGCAGTAGTACAGACATGATTTGCAACAGAAGATAATACTGGAAAAAACTAAGAAATCCCCCAATCATAAGATTTGTGGCTCACTGATTTTATCATAGAAATGTCAATTACAGGAAACACTAAAAGGTTTTTATTAAAACCAAACTGAAAAGAAAGCAGCACTCACGCACACATGCATCCACCACCATGCCTAAGTAAACCCAGTATAGTAAAAGCAACAAAACACATTTGCAACTTGCTTAAAATCATACATTTACTGCGGCGTAATCTTTCAAAGACTAGACCCCATCTTATCACGTGCTGGACATTAAGTACAGTAAAATGAGCTTCAGAGTTCACAACAACTGTTCTCGAAGAAAGAAGGAAAAACAAAACGCAGAAAATTATTGCATTTTTTTCCGTCAACGTCGGGGGAGCACATACCAATGGGAATCAGTGCCGGCAGCCACTGTGCTTCCTTACCTTCTCACCTGCCTGTTTGCTAGGGTCCCCCTCAAACATCCCTCCACGCCCCATTTCACCTTCCCTTCGGTTACCTGGTTGGCGACGTCGGCAGGCAGCCCGCGAATGAGCACCTTGCGTCGGTTACGGAACTGTCGGGCGCTTCTTTCCAGGCGACTCGCTATCTCGGCCGGCTCCAACAGCTGCAATACTTCTTCAGGGGCGTTGCCCGAGCCTGGCTCTGGGCCTGGAAGCGACCCAGCAGCGGCGGCTGCCCCACCAACTACCCCACCAAAAGCCGCTACTGCCGCCATCTTGGGAAGCAACTGCCCCCTTCCTCCTCCTCCTCCCCCCTACAAGCTAATACCAGCGATAGAGGGAGGTGGAAAAGAATGGCGTCAGCGCCATGCCAGCCCCCCAATTGGTCCAGGAGGTCCCCGCCCACCCCCCGGACAGCCGTTAGATGGGTTGTCCAATGAGAAGCTCGAGTGTGAATTAACTCTTCACGGAACGGTGTAAAGATCGCCGCGGTCGATCCCGCGCGCTTCGGGGGTGTGTTTGCTGCTTAGCAGATCTTGGTTGAAATCTGGGCAGCAGCAAAAGTTGTCAGAGAAATAAAAGTGTGGGAGGGTTGGGCGAAAGTGAAAAGGGGAACATAGCAACTCGGGCCAGGACAGGTTTGCGCATCATCTAAGTTACCTGAAAGGTCAGCCGTATTCGTTTTTTTGCAGGAAAAACATCGAGGTTCGTGACACTTAAGTGACTGCTGTAATATGCAATAAGACTATTAATTATGGAAAGGAAATAATAACATCACATCTTAGGCATATCAAGATGTAAGCATGCCTTGAGATAATGGCATTTAACAGCCCGATTATGTAGAGCTGCAAAAAATCCGGACCCCAACTAGGTGGCAGCAAAGAGAAAATATCTAGCGGTCTCGATTTTTGCAGCCCAGATCTGAGAGTAGGTACGTCCCATCCCTTACTCCTGATAAAGTCACTAGGAAGTGGGCTAGACTCAGAGAATAATGTAATTTACTTGAACTTTGTTTCAATTTTTGCACATCATAATTTAAATTCAAGATTAAGTCACAACTACAGTATTTATGGTTTTCAGATTTTTTTTTAACCACCTTGGGTTCCCTAGGAGGAAGAGTGGTACTGAAATAAAGTTACATAAACATCTAGATAAGATCATAAAGTAGCATATCAGCTTGGGCTGATATAAAGTACCCTGAGCTAATCAGGTCACTTGGAGTTCTAGTGATAATGAATTCAAAAAACAAACTGTTTAACCCTCTCCAAACCATTTTGTTCTCTTGGTGGATTACATTTCAGTTGGTGATCTAGACTGGGCACACATCTAATATGCCTTTAATAAAAAGGGAAGTTAGAACTATGTTAGATGATGACACCTTAGACTGCAGTTCTAATCTTCCAGATAATGGCACAGATTTTATTTTATTTATTTATTTATTGAATTTTTCAA